AATCCAGGGGAAGGGATGCACGTGTTCGTGTGCACGTGTGAGCGCAGGTACTCTGACACGCAGGGTAAAATAGCCGAGGTAGCCCGCAGGGTGAATCTCCGCTGCCTTCCCACCCCATTCCCGGAGGCTTGCACCCCCCCTTCCCAGCCCCAAAAGTCGGGGGCCCCGTGACCCCGATTGCCGACCCCTGGACCAGGGAAGGCTAGGCCCGGCTGGGGCAGCCAGGTTGCCAGGAAGCTTTCCGCGGAACGAACAGAAAGGAGGATTTGTGTCATCGGGAGACCCCCACCCACGCCCCCCACCCACCCACGAAGAGGGCCTGAAAATCCCGGGAGAGCTTGGCAGCCACACCGCTTACCCTTGGTCCCGGAGGAAAAAAGTCTGGTTCGCTTCTGGGAGGATTCCCCCCCCCTCCCCGTCCTTCTTCCGGGCTAGCCGGCCAAAGACTGGAACGATCCCCATCTAGGAACCAGGCTGGCCGGTCAAACTGGGCCTGGAGGGTGGATAAGCTCCTAAGGAGGAGAGCCTGAGGAAGACAGGCCGGCCTTCCCGGGTTCGGCTTTTTCTCCCTCCCTCGTGTTCGATCTCTCCAAGTGTAGGCAGGCAAGGCAGGCACAGAAGGGTCCGGCAGCGTCTGGTGGGAAGCATGATATTTATTTATTTGCCGCCCAGAGTAGACCTTCGGTCTTGATGGGCGGGGTAGAAATCTAATAAAAAAATTTAAATTAATAAATAAAATATTTAAAGGAAGTCGTGGCAAGCCAGAGCCTGTTGTATTTAATTGTGTGGGGGTGTGTTTTAATGATTGTTTGTTATACAGGGTTTTTAGGGCGTGTTTATTTAATTTATTATTGTGAAACAGTTCTGCCCGCTATGCAGAGTCCGCACGTGTTGTTGTTGTTTAGTGGTTAAGTCGTGTTCAGCTCTTCGTGACCCCCACGGACCAGAGGCACGCCAGGCCCTCCTGTCTTCCACTGCCTCCCGGAGTTGGGTCAATTTCATGTTGGTAGCTTCAATGACACTGTCCATCCATCTCATCCTCGGTCGTCCCCTTCTCCTCTTGCCTTCACACTTTCCCAACATCAAAGTCTTTTCCAGGGAGTCTTCTCTTCTCATGAGAGGGCCAAAGTATTGGAGCCTCAGCTTCAGGATCTGTCCTTCCAGGGAGCACTCGGGGTTGATTTCCTTCAAAATGGATAGGTTTGTTCTCCTTGCAGTCCAAGGGACTCTCAAGAGTCTCCTCCAGCACCACAATTCAAAAGCATCAATTCTTCGGCGATCAGCCTTCTTTATGGTCCAGCTCTCACTTCCATACATCGCTACTGGAAAAACCATAGCTTTGACTATTCGGACTTTTGTTGGCAAGGTGATGTCTCTGCTTTTTAAGAGGCTGTCTAGCAGCAGGCTTATGGGGCTGACGGAGTGGGGAAGGGAGCGGGGGGGGGAACAAGATCAGCCTTCGACGGGAAGACGGAGAGAGGGTCCAATCAAGGTTCATTTTAGCTCCCCAGCAGACGGAGGCCAGAGTGGCACCTCTAGCGATCCAGGTGGGTGACCTTACGCTTTCTGCGGGTCTCTGGACAGTTTATCTTTATAACACTTCCATTGATTTACTTGCGGTGAACGTTATACTAATCGCATTTCTGGAGCTGTCTCTCGATCCTGCCTTGGAAAACTGGCCGGATTTCGGATCCTCTGGCGCAGACGATTCCCTTTCCACCTCGTTTCCAAAGAGGCCAGTTGCTCTGTGGCAGAAAACACACCCGGTGTCTTCGACGCTTTCATAGACTGGGGACCGTCCAAAGCTTAAACGGAGGCAATTGCTAACCTGACTCTCAAGGCAATAAATCACAAGCATCTGATGGGGCAGCAAAAGGTGACATTTCATTTGACCCAGTGTTGCAAATTTAATGTAATTCAATTAGCAAGTTTGAAAGGTGGGCGAGGTGGGGATGGGTGGGTGGGATTCCAAAGCCCTTTCTCCCGATCCTTCCTGGTCTCCCATCCAAACACTGGCCAAGCCTGATCCTGCTTAGCTTGGGAGATTAAATGAGAGACTGGGGAGGGCTGTCTGCTAGTCTTTTGATAGCAGGGGAGGTGATGGGGGGGGGGAGAACAGGACTTTCCAGAAGCATGTCCAGCTCTAAGTTATTTTGATGCAGGCCTTCTCAGGCGTATGAATGCCACCAGAAGGGCCGAACTCTGACCCACCTTCCCCGCTTTAGCAAAGGTGCTGCAGCCCGGGGTGGGGTGGGGGTGGAAATGAAAGCTTAGATTCCTGGTGGATTGATTTGGGCCACATGTTCCATAACTCTCTGGGAATTCTGGGACTTGTAGTCCAATAAATCTGAAGGGCACAAAGGCAAAACTGTTCTGGATGTACTTTGCAATGGAAGGGTCTCAAGGCTTGGATCAGTTCCTCCCC